CAAATAAGTTGTATCTGCAGTCTGCTGTTTAAGATGAGAAGGTCCTCTCACTTATTTTTTTCTTCATTGACATGTATGCCTAAACAATGGTAATAGGACATACACTCATTGCAGTACCGTGATATCCATCTTAAACAACTGGCTCCAACAGTGTAAGAGATGGGAGGGGCATGCAATTTTATTTAGAGTTAAATAATCTCCTTATATTGTGTTATTTGTCTTAAATAACATAAAATAGTGTGAAAGTAATTGAAAAATGTGAGTTCCTTCTTTAACTCGTATGTACAGTATCGGTCTGACTCACTTCTGCATGACTCTGAACTAACCTTAAATGCCTCAACATAGGTGACGCATTTTTTTGTGCTTTACACACGTACATGGTCACACGTGAAGCAATGTTCTTTGCAGAGTTTGTAAAGACATGTTGTGAAATATCGTGTGTAGGCAGTAAGTGTGGCTGTTTGCCCTACTCTATTGGACACATTGTAACACCTACATACTATCAATTACTCACAGTGTAGTAACAGTCATCTGTAACCTATCAGCCCACAGCTTGATCAAACATACTCAGAGGAATAGAATAAGGTTTGATAAGATACAGCGAGGGGGGGGGGTATTTTATCAGCTGTATAGATTAGTTTCTAAGTTTGGAAAATGTTGTACCTTTCAGTATTCTTTAGCACCAGTGAAAACACATCATGACCAATCAACTTTAACTATATTTGATCAGTCTAGTTGTCATTTTGCATCATAACTTTTATGAAATGAAGTAGCTCAATTTTAATGCTTAAAGCTTTAGTTGCCAGAAAATCTACACCTGCATTTAGGCCTGCACATGGAATTTAATCACAATCACAATCTTGGCCTTCCCACGATCAAACTTTATTCTGCTTAAAGGCTTCAGTTCTCTTCTCTACACACACACACACACGTGTTGAATATGGTCAACCCAGAGGTGGTTTGCATCGGGGTGGGGATGTAGTTGCAGAGAGAATCACTCCAATGACTATCATGTCATCTTACAGTAGGAGGCTGTTGTTGGATTATGTTTGGCAAATTGTTTGGGGCCATTGCAGACCAAAAAAGCCAGGGCAGATTTTTTTGTCCCAGTCCAGCCCTGGCAATAGTTGAGTAGCGGGATACATGTTTTTAAAATATGCCATAAACAAAACGAAAAAATAGTACCTAAACTACCTATAATGAATAAATAATCAAGATCTCAATATTGATTCAAAATCAATCATTCTGACCAAAAACTTGTAGCCATACCTACATTACATTTAAAGAATGAAAACCCAGCATGGAAAAAAGAAAGCTACGCAGCACTTGCTCTTTTCTTTGTCTCTCAATGTTGCATGAACCCCTAAAGTTTACTTAATTGACTAACTTTGTTGGAAACCTGTTTTGAAGCCACATATTTTTCAAAATGGTAAACATGGTCTTAAGTGCACTACTTTTCAGCTCGTAGGCCCATATGTCCCAGGGTATGTAAACAAAGCAGAAAAAACAATGTTTGTTAGACAGCGTAACTGTAGTTTTCCACTTTTGTTCATCCCACAGTACAAGCAGAACCCCGAGATGTTCAAACAGACAGCGAGGCTCTGGTCTCATGTTTACGCAGGCGCTCCTGTCTCCAGTCCGGAGTACACACGTAAAATAGACAAACTCTGTTCCATGGGCTTTGAAAAAGTAAGAATCTCTTGAATACTTTTGCCTATTTCTGTTGAATTCTGCTGTAGAATTAAACTGATTGTGTGTTCCTTGTTTCTTTCCCAGAATGCAGTAATAGTGGCGTTGTCGTCAAAATCCTGGGACGTGGAGACAGCAACAGAGCTACTGCTCAGTAACTGAATCTTGACTCAGTCTTCATCTTTCTCTTGATCCCCCCCCCCCCCCCATCACAGATACACACCCTCTGTCCTCCAAATTTCCTGCAATTTCAAGTCGACTTATCCTCTTCTCACCTCCACAATTACCCCCCAACCCCGTTCCTTTCATCCCCTCTGTGTGGCATCTCTCCTCCCTGCTCATCATCTCTGCTGTACCACACTCTGTGTACCATACAATCTGTTGCTCTGTGAGCTCTTATCTTTGGTTTCTTTTGGTTCATTCAACATTCCACTCAGTGCTACAATCAGGTGTTTCACACACATCTTGCCCCCATTTAAAGCAAATTCCAGACTTTAGACCCCGCCCACGCTAGCTAGCCCCCCTAGCTTTTGGGCTGCGTCCTAGAAGCGGCTGTCAGTGACTTATCCTTGCCTATGCAGTGCATTACCTTCTCATTTTTTGAAAACTTCAGCAGGAGAGAGTAAAGCCATTCTTGGAGGCTCTTTCGGATTTGGTCATGATTTTAACACACTTTTTGGCTTGTTTTCTGAACAGAGTTTGAGCCAAGTCCTTGGCAAAGAACATTATTTTCTTTGTGTCTCCAGCTATCTTTTCTTCTAATTTATAAATAACAAACATAAAAAGTAAGATGAGCTGTGAAGAAATATTTTAGGAAGCGTTGAATCCTTTTTGTTATTCCCTCGCAGGGTTTTTGGGGTGGATAAAGGAGCGCGTTCATTAATTCAAAGGTCAGTTTCATTCAGACACAGATTAAGATGAGGCTCATTCCCAGTTCTGGAAACCAGCTCATAAAGTGTCCCTAAGGTGTTTACACAGAACACATACTGATTTTTGTTAGGCCATTCCCCCACATTAACTGTCAGATGACCACAAAGCTCTTGCAGCAAACTCCAGCGCCCATCCCCTCACCTTTTCTTCACACAGTTCTTTCATCTGTCCCTTTCTTCATATTTAGAAAACAAATATTTGTTTTGGCCTCCTGCAGGAATACATCTCGATTCTTGTTTTTAAACAGAGAGAAAAACAAAACAAAACAACCATGTCAGCAGTAACACAACCTGTCATATAAGTCTGGATGGAAATAGTTCATAACAAGTTTGAAAAATATTGCAGCATCTTAATGATGCCAATGGACAAATATGTCAAAATGATTCATCTGTAAATAAAGATATTAAAGTCTGTGTAAATTAAAACTATCTCTCCTTTCTGTGACCTGTCTTTACAGATCTGTGTGATTATTCTCAGCTGGGATTTTTTCCCCCTCCAAGAAATACAACAAAAAGACACATTTTACAATGTGACGATCGATGAGTTTGTCTCAGTCAGGTGTAATGAGTTTAATCATGGCGAGAGAATTTCTCTTCATAACAAGTGTGGTTTTGCATACATTTAAATAAAGACTAGGGAGAGGATGAATGGTCTAAGATCAACAGAAATTCAACCTATGGGGAATAAGATTGACCGTGAAAATGGAGCAAGAAGGCCAATTTAGAAGAGGAATGTGCGTGCAGGAGAACAGAAGATTAGATGATGTATATGTTGCAGGTCAGCTTTACTGTACACTAGTACTTTGGACAGATACAGCAGGACTGCACTGCTGTTGCGTAAGGTTTCTCTGTTGAGCAAACACACTTTCATACTGCATTTAGAGCCACTAAAAGAAGGTGACACAGGCGCAGCTCATAATGTTCACATCACCTTACAGTTGAGCACGCTGAGAATGAACAACAGACAGATGGCCTGCTTGATAGCATGGTGTGCTGGGCTGAACCTCTCCAAGAAACCCTGGCATTAATCTGAACACTGCATTCCAACCCGCATACACACACCAAACACATTTATGTTGACTAATTTACAGCTATGTTTAAATACATGACCTTATAGATGAAATCACTTTGTATTTGGCTGATCTGTTGCACCTGCCTCACAGTTAACAAGCCTCTGTGAGACAAAAGCTCGTTTTGTATCCCTCTACTGGATGTTGGCTTACACCTCTAGTTTATCTTCCATCTGAAACTCCTCCAAGCATCCCGGTGCAGAGGACTGCTCTACACAGGGCAGGAAACATTAGACTACAAATTCAATCAAATGAACGTATTGTATCGTCGTTAATGACTCCTCCACCTCATACCTTCTTGGATGCACTTTGTTCCGACCATGCTACTATGGTTTTATTTTCATAGTCTGACAAAGAAGTCACACATGCTGCTGTTGGGAATTATTCAATATGTGATGCAACAGTATGGTTGAAGTGGTATATATTGATGTTACTAAGGTTCTTAATTATACTTCAGTACTATGCAACTGTTGTTGGGTAATATGCAATGTACGTGCAGTGCAATGTACTGTACACCTGTTGTCATTTTTTTCTTCATAAATCCATAATTCCCCTTTCCATATGTCATAGAGGGCCCAGAGAATGTAGATATACAAAGCAAGGAACAAAGGGAAAAGTTACCTGTGTTGTTTTTTTTTAAAACAGCTTAATCTGTTCAAAGCCTAGAAAAACATGCTGTATTTAATAAAACTCAAGGAAATGATTGTACTTTCTCTAGGACTAAAACTTGTTTATATTCAACTTTAACTACTTTTTAGGGAAGGTGCCTTAAGCTGGCTAAAATTGAAATTCTTTTTTTCTGTCACTTTGTAATTAGGCTGACAGATTAGGTAAATTATCTTTTATTGATTTCCCTATCTAACACCTGAGACACAATAGGAACCAGGCAGTTCGTATTGAACTGAGTTATTTACCCCTCCATCTTTTCTCCTCCTCCTCCTCCTCCTACCATTCCTGATATTCAACAGGCCCGCGGCCCACCTGTGTGCAGTCGTTTGATTGACAGGTGCGTGGACCAGTGTGTGGTGAGGCGATGGCTCATGATTATCCTGTTTCTCTCAGTCTGATGCTGTTATGTGATAGTCGGAGTTTTATTCCGTGTCGCAGTCTGCAGACCTGAATCCTCTCCTGCCAAGCTTTAAGAGCTGCCTGACCGAGAGGACGACCGGATGAAACGGTGCCCTGCTATCTGCAACTGAGTTCAATTGGGGTTGAACGGGCATCATGTACTGTAGGCCTGATAACGGAGAAACCTTAAGGACTGATAGTTACTGATCAGAGTTCTCTTTGACTTTATTTTAAAGTGCTCAAGATGATTCCAATAATCTGTCTGGCGATGCTTCTCCCCGAAGGTGAGTCAGACAGAACCGGCATGCGGACAAAAAAAACATTAATATGCTATTTTTTTTTGATGATTTAAAGAGGTCCTACATGCTTTTTTGATACGAGGTGTATCAAACATGTTGCTTGGTGCGTTATACGAAACACTCAGCATTTTAATCTATATATTTAACAACCACTTTCTAACTAACTTTGATGTTTACTTTTTTGGCATTTTTAAATTTTTGTCTCAAAACTATTGAAAGAATCAAATGACTTTTGTGAAAGTGTTAAATTGTTGATATATAAATATTATAATTAAAGGGCCTGAACAGCAGGAAACTTTTAAAGACTGGGGCTTTCTCTTAAGGATTCACGGGGAATCATTTTAATGTTCAAACAACAAGTTATTCCTACAATATTTTTTTTAAACAAAAGAAATAAATCCAACAATAGTTTTACATTATAAGGTAATAATAAAATAGTCTTGCATTGTTTGCCACTTATTTAGAATATTGGTGTACTTTTATGATAAGCACTGGTATATTAAACTGTGTTTGAAAGTCATATGTTTGTGTGTCACAATGACTAATGACCCCATCTCCCCCCGTCAGTGGCTCATTCAGCTCAGGGTCAATTCGCCCACAAGCTCCTGAACGATTTGATGGAGAGTTATTCCAGCGCACTGCGTCCTGTGGAGGACACAGACAGAGCGCTCAACGTCACCTTACAGATCACCCTCTCTCAGATCAAAGACATGGTGGGTAACAATGTTTATACCATCTAATCTCTCGCTACGTTTCATTTTAACAATAGTGTTTTATTGTTACATCTTGACCAAAAGAAAACACATTCCGCTAAACCAAACCAGAGGACTGTCCGCTTATAAAGGTATGTGTATCTCCAGAATATTAAAGGGGACATATTACGAAAAATCCACTTTTACAGTGTTTTTGAACATATATTTGGGTAACCTGAATGTCTGCCGTCCCACAAAATTTGAAATAAACCCACCCAGTCCTTTGTTTGTGGTCTGCATAAGTCTTACAACACAAAGAAAAATGCTCAGTTTCAAAATTTACTCAACTTTTGACATCACAGTGGGATTCTGGTAAAAAAAAAATACCCTCCCCTCCCCTGGTATCTCCACCCATGGACTCCACCCCCAGCCTAGAGCAAAACTTTTGCGCAGGTCCACCATTTTTATTCCTGCTAGTGAAGGAGTGATGTCTACCGGGAAAACTCAGGGGGGGGCTCATTGCATTTAAAGAGACACACACACCAAAACGGAGCGTTCTGACAGAGCTGGTTTATACAGGGTCACAAACCTCCTCTGGTGCTTGATTCATGTTATATTTTGACCAATGAACCGCACAGATGTTTCATTTAGACCACAGGAGATTCTTTGAAAAGGTGGAAAAGGAGTATAATATGTCCTCTTTAAACTATATCTGGAGATATATCATCACCAAAAGCAGAGAGTGCTGAAGTATATTACTGACAGGCCTCCTGCTGTACAGGACCAGCTTACTGTTACTCAGCTGTCTCAGGTTCCTGTTCGGGTTCAGTGCTGTGCCACCCCACAGTGAATAAGCACTTGTTTTGTGCACGTGAGTTTGCTGTGCGCGGTTGAATACATAATACAGCTTTGCCTCTGACACCAGGCTGTCAGTTTGTTAGTTTTGAGAGGACAGAGCCCGATAACAAATGAGCATGTGTGTTGGAGTTTCCTATTACCTAAAGAGCTTGTGCTTTTGTGAAGCCTACTCCACCCATCTCCATGAGCCATCAACACTGCGCATTGCTCATCCACCTGATATTGACGGAAGGATCTGGATTTCGGCTGTTGTGATAATCTGAAGTGTGTTATGTGCATAGAGAGTTAAAGAGCTGCACAGAGGAGACGAAAATGATCACTCTTTAAGCTATTGTTAGTATATGTACTATGTATTGTGTGTGTAGTAATGTGTGTCTCCATTCTTATTGAAGTGGCTCTGTTTGTGTGTCTGCAGGATGAGAGGAACCAGGTACTGATTGCCTACCTGTGGATCCGGCAGACATGGCATGATGCTTACCTCAGGTGGAATAAAGAAGACTATGACGGACTGGAGGTGATCCACATACCCAGCAGCCTGGTGTGGAGGCCCGACCTCGTCCTCTATAACAAGTACGCCAGTACGTCACACACACACACACACACACACACACACACACACACACACACAGACACATACACACACACACACACACACACACACACACACAAACCAAACACATACACGTTATATTTATGTTGACTAATTTACAGCTATGTTTAAATACAGGACCTTATAGATGAAATGACTTTGTATTTGGCTGATCTGTTGCACCTGCCTCACAGTTAACAAGCCTCTGTGAGACACACACACACACACACACACACACACACACACACACACACACAAAAGAATCAACATAGGCAAAAACCTTTAGTTATACAGTTTCTTTAAAATCAAAGAGGCCCCATGCTCACTTCTTTAATGACAGACTATACCAACACTGAGACAAATAACAAATATGGCTGGTCAATTTGTGTTAACTTTTCATCCTCCTGCAGAGCTGACGATGATTTCTCAGGACCGATGGACACCAACGTGAGATTGCGCTACAATGGAGAGATCACCTGGGATGCTCCTGCCATCACCAAGAGCTCCTGTGTGGTGGATGTCTCCTACTTCCCCTTTGACAGCCAGGAATGTAAACTGACGTTCGGCTCATGGACATACAATGGCAACCAGGTTAGTTCACGTGCGACCATGCTCACTGATTACATTCTCGACTGGACAGCTTGATAAATCCGAAAACACTTATTCTCTTGCCATATTTCCAGGTAGACATATTTATGGGCATGGACAGCGGTGACCTGTCTGACTTTGTGGAGAATGTGGAGTGGGAGTGTCATGGCATGCCTGCCACTAAGAATGTAATAATGTATGGCTGCTGCTCGGACCCGTACCCAGACATTACCTACACAGTGCTCCTTCAGCGCCGCTCCTCCTTTTACATCTTCAACCTCCTCCTTCCATGCTTCCTCATCTCCTTCTTGGCTCCTCTGGGTTTCTACCTGCCTGCGGACTCTGGAGAGAAAGTTTCCCTCGGAGTTACAGTTCTTCTGGCTCTCACTGTGTTCCAGCTAATGGTGGCTGAGAGCATGCCTCCATCTGAGAGTGTGCCCCTTATAGGTAAGAGTTTGTGGGGGGACCATGTTAAAGCCGGGACAGATTTTTTATGCTAGCAGTTTGGCTTTATGAGTGATACCATCTGGCGTTTGGTCTTAATTTGCATTAGACTGAAATCTCTCAACAGACAAATTGTAATAAAACTTTATGACTTTTCTCCAGTTCTACCATGACACTGATAATCCTCCATATTTACAGTACATGGATGTCTTTCTGCTGATGTCATGCTCAGGATTAGAGGCTAATATGCTGTCATGATGTTGTATCGCTGAGTTCCAAAAACCTGACAAATCTTTATGATTTCACTGCTTCTAAACTGATCAGTAGCTGAAAAGACAATATTAGAATTGTGGAAATAAAGAAGGACATTCATCCAGGCTTCAAAACAGCATTTAAAATGACAAATAAGACTTCGTTAGGTGACAGATGACATTAGCATTCAACCACTTTTTAACAAACACCACTGTTTGATAGAGATACATGATACAATTGAAAAGACTCAACGCCCAAGGTAATGGTAGCAATATGTTAAGCTAGGAGTTGGTTTAATACTTGGTTGTTGCGACTTATCTGTCCATAACCAATGAGTTATCACAGCAACATATTTTTCAACTCATTAGGGCCGCTCTTTCCTAATTTATTTAAAGTATTTCAATTCCTTGTTCATTTCAAATGTTGTTTTAGCTTGAAATATGGCCCCATGTCCCTACCACATTCACACAACCCAGTCTTCAGCTGCAGAAAAGCAATGAAATCAAAGTGAATTTTTCAGACATTTTGAAAACCTGAATCACAGCAACACGATTATAAAAGCATCTGAGCTGTAAATATAGTTAGTTGTGGTTTTAAAAGAAATATCCTCAGGATTTCCTGCGTTTACTTTGTTGGTCCATAACCTTACAGGAAGCTCCATTTGTCTAAGACATACAGTATATTTTTATTTAAATATGTATGACTTTATAGACAGTCCCAGCTGCGCTTTGTGTTTGATATTAACTGTCACATATTGGCATGCATACACAATCACCAAGTGATGGTGAAAATAGTCATCATTATACCTGCTAAACATCAGCATTATGTTGATGCAAAGGTAACTTGTTAGCTAATGTTAGCATGCTGACAATAGTGTTTTGCTTACAGCAATATGTGCCTATGAAGAACTGGAAATATAAGTTTATATTGAACCACACATTTCTGGGTAAAGGGTAATTCAGTGAAGGATTGTGATACACTGTATTCAACTAAAGAAAAGTGAAATGTTAAGAAGTACATGTCTCTAGAATCCTGACAGCAACCTTCTCTCCTGTCTTTTATCTCGTTTCTATTTGACTCCCAGGAAAGTACTATATCGCCACTATGACCATGGTCACAGCCTCCACATCTCTCACCATCTTTATCATGAATATTCACTTCTGCGGTGCCGAGGCTAAACCAGTCCCCCACTGGGCAAAAGTCCTCATCATTGACTACATGTCCAAGATTTTCTGTGTTTATGAGGTGGGTGAGAACTGCGCCTCTGCCTCCTCGTCCTCTTCTTCATCTTTTCACTCCCCCCAGGATGATGTCCGTTACCAGCACCACAGCTCCCACATTCAAGCGAATGGTAAACCAGGGAACAATGCTAGCAAACAAGACTGGAAAAGTCCAAAATACCCCAGACCCCAGACCCCTAAGCTACAGCACCATAGAGTGAGAGCCCAGCACCACATCACCAGAGAGGAGAAGAACCACCTCTCCAACTCTGCACCTGGCAAATATGAAGGCTCTAACGGGAAGATCCCAACAAGCGACTGTTGCAAAGAAGACCAGAAAGTCCCCGGTTACTTTGAAGACCAAAAGCTTCCCTGTTGCCCTGAAGACAAAAAGCCTCTACCTCCAGGTCCCACTGTTACATTCGGCCCCTGTGTGTTTTGTAGCTATGGCAGCGGCATCCCTGGTGTGGACACCAAGCTCGTGCGCAATGTCGAGTATATCGCCAACTGTTTCCGAGAGCAAAGGGCCACATGCGCCAAAGGAGCAGAATGGAAGAAGATTGCTAAAGTAATGGACAGATTCTTCATGTGGATCTTCTTCATTATGGTGTTCCTCATGAGCATCCTCATCATTGGCAAGGCACCTTGATTGATCAGTGATGCTTCTGAGTTTTTTTCTTTTATTTGACCGAGTGAACTGCATTTGGACACTTGAGGTCAAAGGGACTATTTTGTGCTTTGTAAACAGGATGTACTTGGAAACATGTGTTTTTTTGTCTTACTTAATTATCATATAATAATCATTATAAATAACAGATAAAAAAGTAAATATATTTGAAATTGATAGCAATGTCAAATTCAGTATGCAATAGCATCTTTTTGAATCCTTAATATTTGCAAAATGTAAACGCTGAGGCCCATCTCTCTCTGCTGCCTCTGCATACTTTTCCACATTTGCTTTTATAGATAGCCCACTGCATATTGGAAGGTTTTTCATCACCTCACCACTGAATATAGTTCAGGGTAAGTCTAATTCACTACTGTGAAATCAGATGCCTGGGGGCTCAGACAGCCAGGGTCAGCGCATGCCCAGATCTGCAAAATATTTTTTTGGTTCAAAATCATCCATTAAATAGTTCATGAGCAAGCTTTGTTTGTAGCGCAGCCAGGGGAGTGAGGATGTAAGGTAATATGCTCCATCAATAATGTAGCACTAGGAGCACACTCTGACATCCCCCATACCTTGAACTTGGAAAGTCAAGTGCATGTGTCTGTGTGTCTGTGTGTGCCTTCATACACAAGTTTAGAGGAATGGATCAGGATGTAAAACTCTTAGAAAGGAAAGAATCCTCATGGTGTTGACTCCAGAGGTGAAGCTTTAAGGCATTAGACTTCATTTAAGTATGTCATCTTTTGTCGCTGACGAAAGTAGACTTCGTATTGAAATGCTGCACTATTTGTAAAACATAAATTACATTTATGAATACAAACTAGTACTAAAGATGTATCAACACAATATCTTTACATTATAAACAGAAAGATACAACCTAAAACAACAACGATATGAAAACTATATTTATACACCAATATTCTGCAAAACTGCAGGACAGCATTCCTCATAATAAGAACTATAACTTTTAATATTTAACTATGGTAACAGTTGGCTGATAACATTTTCACATAATCACTTAATAGAAATCTTGCAAAATTATCCTTTTTTTTGCTCAAAGTCTCACTTAAAGAAACAGGAATCTTTAAAAAGTGTTTAACACAATATGCATTAAGTTTATCTTAGGAAGTCTAAGTCATTTCTTGACCCGGAAGGACAATTAGCTTTATTTAAATGTTACTTAAAATGCTACTCAAAGCAGCAGGATGGTGAATGTGACACAGACTCAAAATAATCTAGTTCACATTGTGTTCATTGTGATGAATTATTATGTCAATAATTGATGAGTGTTGCTTGTTGTTTTATTTCACATAAGACTCCACTTTATTAGACTCCAACTACAAAGAGAAGCAGTATCATTTGGTCAGGGGGACCATTTGTTCATTGTTTTTTTTTTCATGGGATTTGTTTTCATTATGGAAATTATAAATTAAGGATGTTATTACTTCTTCCACCACTGTAGAACGCTAAAAATGTATTTTCCTCCTTTTCTATAGCCTTTGCTTTTATTAACACTTTGGTGGAGTCAAACTGGTGCTGAATAAAACAGGATTTTATACCTGAATTCTCTAAAGTTTTACCAACAACACCTTCATCTTACAGTAGAGGGCGCTCATTTCTCATAAACTGATCTGGTAGTGGTTACCTTGAAGCTTCCTGCTTGTAGCTGTACATGGCAACATGGGTGCACAAGAATGAACCTCAGAATTATTACCCCAGTCTTTTCAATATCTACGGTACAGTGCAGTTCATTCCTAAGAGGAGAGAAAATATTTTTAAGGCTATTATTTAGTCATCCATTGTAGGGCAAACGACTTGATGTCTCACTTGCAGCAATTCAATGATTAAACCCCCAGGCTAAAAGTCAGTAAACAATACTGGGGCAGGAGGCAGCACGTCTGCTGATTCATCTTTTGAGTCTTTTCCAGTCTGAGGGTTTTTGAGCAGAAATATAATAGGTAGAGGAGATGCTGTTTTTTTAAACACCTCTCCAAAGTGGATTTCATGCTGAGATAAGATCTGATGTAAATCTGATTTATCTTCTGCTCTCTGTCTGAAGAAAGCTGACTGGATTGTGTTCCATTAGTGCCCAGCAGCTCTGGGGCCCACAGCAGGCTATGTTCACTGTTGGAGACTAGGAGAAGTGTGAACCATGGAAAGGCATAGCAGCTCAGGTGCTGATGGAATGACTGCTTGGGAATTACCAAGTGCTTTGGGAAATCTCACTTGAAGGTGTGTTATCTATCACCCCTAACATGAACAGAATGGGAAAAACTTTGTAATCAAAGAATGAGTTGGAACCAACCATTATATCAGAAAAATGTATTTCCAAGTTTCCCTGATCATTACAAAACATACTGTATCTCAAACTGACCATTGGCATGTTGTGTTAAAATGAGCAGCAACATGTTGCTCATGTGTTATTTTATCAATCATGATTATCCAATTACAGAATTTTCAAAAAATGAATACATTCCAGGGGCCATATTTGCATACTGACTATTGTTTTCACTTAGCCTAGTTTTCTTTTAGTAGGTTATGTTTCCTTGTTATATGGTTACTAATAAAGGCCCTCCTGTGCATAGGGCACCCAATCCTCCTCGCTATCTACGCCCCTGCTTTTGGATAAACCACGTCATCTAACTGATTCGATTCGATGTTGTTTCTGTCCAGCAGGGTTACATTTAGCTTCCATTTGACTCTGTAAAACTGTAAATAGGCCACTATGTTACAGAAAGACACAAGAGGACATCCAGAGTTAAGAAGATTAGTTTTTCACCCGTGAAGAGCAGGACATTGAAATGAACATGCTGTTGTCATGGTGATGGAAGAACGCTTCTCCAAAGTGCTCCGCAGTGCTGACAGACTTGAGGAAAGTTTGTTTTCAAGTGGAGACACAACACTTAGTTATGGAGAGTTCTATAAATGTATGATATAGAGGATCTGTGGGCTGTAGGAACGACATCCGTGGAGACGCCCCTCGCCTCATTACGGACCCAGATTTATAGTGGGGAGTTAACTGGTAGTTCAAAGTTTGCTTCGAGGTAAACATGATGACCAGCTGCACGTAACTGTTGATATGAAGAGTAACGGAGACGACGACTGTCAGGACTGTCTTCTTTAAAGGTGAATCACACTTAAATTAATTCCTGTTTTACCGCTGCTAACGGACAGCAACTTTTAAAAATGTATACAAGAGACAATCATTACCAAAATGTGACGTTAACGTCCAATTTTAGATATTTCAAAACTTTACTAGACTTGTTTCTTTACGGAGTTTTATTTCGTGCTCGCAGCTATTATACTATAACTAGGCTACTGTGATTTTCAGCCAAGTCAATCTTAAAAGATTGTAACGAAAACTAGGTGAAGATGATTAATGTAAGAGTTAATTTTTCCTTCTTAAGCCTAATCTTCTGAACAAAACAAAGACAGACAACCCGTTTGAATATACATGATCATTTTTTTAATTTAGGGCTTTTACACCATCAAAAATATTTGTTATTTTTTATTTTATTTAACCTTTATTTAACCAGGAAAAAGTCTCATTGAGATTAAAAATCTCTTTGTTGTAAGCCAACAAATAATAAATCTAATGTGATTTATTTAACTTATAATAATAATAATAATAATAATAATAATAATAAAATGTATTTTAAGCAACAAATAATAGCCATGTGTGTGGATGCTTTCTGCTTTTTAATGTCTTTGAGATAATATTTTATGGCTGTTTTTTTTTAGGGTTCAGACAGAAATCTCTGGGGATATGGTGAAAAACCAAAATGTCGGAGGGCACCTCAATCGCTCTTCCCCATGCAAGACAAAAAAGACTGGCTCCCAGAGTGCAAACAGCAAGGACCAAACTAGTCTGGACCCAGCAGGTGATGATGTTCCTGCTGTTCCTGCAGACCTCCAGACTATTGGCGAAGGTCAGCTGGGTTTTCCAGACAGAGTTTACCTGCTGGCATCTGTCATCTTCCAGAATAACCACCTGGAGAAGCCTGCTGCCCAGCGGTTGGTGAATTATGGCAAAGAGAGAGGGCTCCCTTTACCTGTGGTCAAAGACGAGGAGATGCAACGTACAGCTTATGAGCTTGCCTTCAATACACTTAAATGTGAGTGTGCACATGACCAGCGCAGTGAATTTCATTGTAATTGTTGAACCCTTTGACTTTGGTTTTGGCAACTTAAGTGTAAAGAAACCAACAAAGGGATGTTCAGCAGCCTCTATATTGACTCATTCCAAGTATTTTAAATTAGAAGCAAAACCTGTTTGCAAACAGCCATTTGAAATAAGAATAAATGGCCTTAATAATGTTAATTGACAAGTTGAATTGGATATAGATTGATTGATGAAGGGCAAGTAGAAGAGAAAAAAAGACTTGAATGACCAATGGAAATACTGTGCGTTGCTACAAATCAATTTTGCCCATAATCTGTTGTCTGAGACTAGGGTGCGGTCCGAGGGGCTGAAGTCATAGGGCTGTGTAATCACCATGGTGATAAGGGAGGGGAGGTGCGCCAACTGTCAGCGCAGGGAAGATGGCTGGAATCGATTTATGCGTTCTCAGTGGATGGAGAGGTCAGAGTGCTGGAACACCCCCGTTAGCCACCGATGATTTTGTCCTTTCTCACCATCCATCCACTGAACTTGGAAAAGCCTCAGGTCTACATGTCCTCCAATTAATGCAGATCACCTCCAAATATCCATCATCACAAGCCCCAATGCCTGGTTGCAGCAACCTATATTAGTTTAACAGCTGTAGGTCATAGTACTTACAGTGCAAGCTGAAATCATCTAGATTGCTGAGGATATAAGAGAGAACTTAGAGATCGCATTGCAAGGACCTTGTTTTCATTCATCTCAAATGTCTTTTACTTTTGGATCATGAAAATATGTTTTTTATAGATTATAGACCTAAGCTCTACATACGGGCGTAGAGCTCACGTATAGCTGTGAAAAAATACAAAATACTGTATTTGTTGTTCAAAGGTTATCTCCCTTTTATTCACAGCTTATTTAAAAGAAGAATCTATCTGCCTTATCAGTTCTTTAGAAGTGCAGGTCCTCTCTTTGGCTCCCATCCCTCACATCTGGCTTTTCTAGCTTGGATTTGGTTCACATGTAGAGTTTCTGGTTGTGAGAGAGTATTTGAAAAAAGGAGGCACCACAATAGCCATCGTTAGTAGTTTATGTGTTATAGGTAGATATCTACAATGATTGAACTATTCCTGCTCTTTGATATCACATTTCTGCATGCTGGCGTAACAGAAAATGGAAAAATGATTTTTTGATATATCTTAAGTGAATAATGTTTCCTTTCCACCTAAAAACTGACATCACATCATTGTTACAGAAAAATGCCATGGTGGTGATTGTTTAAGTTGGAGAGACATGATAACCTCACTCACATACATATTTTGGTCACATTTTTTAATCACTCACACTGGCTGTGCAATGAAATTGGGTGTAGATGAAATGACACTGCCTGGAAGCTATTGTTAATCTCTGCTTTTCCTCCTCCCACGGCCAGCCTGACTTTTGGTGCAAAAATTGATTTGCTAGTGACACACACCCCTGCCCGTAGACACAAAGACACACACACGCACGCACGCACACACACACGCACGCACGCACGCACGCACGCACGCACGCACACACACACACAGACACATGAAAATCATCATCTGTGCACTGCCTTGGAATGACTATACCAAAAGTGAGTTTTAAGGTGGGTTGTTGACCTAAAGGAGAATTGCCTCAGCAGTCAATGAGCTCTTGTATCGATCTTGTGATTATGACTCTTATTGGCCTACAAACAAAAAGTTGCCCAGTGAGTTTCATAAAGATGGCTGAGGACACAGAATTACCAATGTTGTCATGGGAGTTAAAAACTAAAATATGGAGGAAGAATTTGTGATGATGTTTTCCTCTGGCGTGGATTTAACAATTCATAAAGAATGAGCTCAAATGATAAATATGAGCCTTAAAGTTCTTTTCTCTTTTTGCCCCTCCAACTTCACTTGGCTTCCTCTTATATTTGCATCTTCAGGGCTTTTCTGTTTCGTTGACCTCCCTTGTCTCTCTAAAAAGCCTTTCATTCATATTTGACTAACTGTCTGCTTGACCACTGACCTAGAGGCAGTTTATGCTCCAGGGTTTTCTCTCATGGTTCATTTATACCTTTTAGGTCTCTCAGTTGTTGGCGAATGTGATCTTATACAACCAGTTTTTGAGGATATTTAAAAGTAATAATGCAGTTGACCTTGTTTTTGGCTACTCTTCACCGCCTTTCCTACATCCCTGTTTGTTTCAGCTTCTCCTCTGAGTGTTTCTGCCTCATTGTCCATACTGTCCAACAAGGCATTCAGATGCCCTTGTCAAAGACTCTGGCCGCTGTATTCCTGTGTGCAACAAGAAAGGTTCTTTGGACCACTTTGTGTTAGGCTGGATTTAGAGCTTAAGGGGAAGGCTTTTTTGTCCTTGACCACGGTCAGAGCAGTTACCAACAGTATGCCTCAGCAAATATTAAATTGTCCAGGTAGTTAGAATATAATAGTGTGAGATATATTTGCCATTTAGTTGAAAGGTGATTGTATAACTCATGGCATGTACCTCTTTTGGCTGGTCCTCTGTTAGATTAATGTGCAACCGGGTGTACTGATGCAGTACGATGTGAGACAAAGCGCTAGCTGAAAGGAAAAGGAGCCTGGGTTCAGGTCTGGCTCTTTCACAATGGATCTGTTTGACTCCAGTCACCATCAGTCACTGCTCATTGTGCAATACCTGGATGGATGCCACAAAACACATAAGCTTAACATGAGGCCTGCAATGACTAGTGCCTCCTGCTGGTCAATTATTACTTTGTTGTATGACTGGTTTCACGCCATTTTTCCATTCATCTGTCAACTTTAAAAAAAAAATTTAAAAGTAGTTTCGATTTAAAATTCTGTGTCTGCCGTGTAAAGATTTCTTCTGGTAGTGATTTATAGCAGAAATTTGTCTGTGTTTTACTCGACCTGCTGTGTGTGATTTATAGCATGCTGAAGTCTATGCCCTCTAAAGACCCAACCGTCATGGTTCCCTCTGGGGTCTGTGCTGCTCTGTGTGCACTAAATGCTTATCTCTACAGGGCTTATCTTTAAGACCCCCTGCCGTAATGGCCACTAATATAAACCCCCATTGACCTGCATCTGCTATAAATTTGACCACTGACTGCTAATGATATGCATTTGTTAACCTGGTTATGTAAACCTGGCCATTTGTGTGTACATGTGGATGTGATTCTACACCGATGTGTTTGTTTGCCCTGACTTACTATCTAGCATGCATCTGGCTGAGTCCCACTGTACAGTTGGGCATGATTTGTGATGTTGTGATAAGTTAACAGCAGTGTCTGTGGTTTTCATGGTGTCCCAGTGGAGTGGCTCTATCCTGAGCTTACCTTTTACTTGCAGCTTAAGAGGTGTGTCTGACAAGAATAAGAATGACTCAAGAAAGCAACCACACATGACATTTACGTGCACTGAGCATGAATATTAAAAATCAACACTGTCTTTTTTACACCTGCCCTAGTGCCTATTTTTCACCTTTTGTTCATACCCCTATGAAGATGCTGTTTCTTACCTCACTACTGTAGAAACATGAGCATATTTTGTACACACATGTCATGTACAGATTTTTCCATTTTCCCATTTCCAGTGTGTAATGAGCAAACACTGTACCTGCAGAGCGGCTTCAGTTGCAGCGCTCCGTAAATCCTAATGCAATGAACTGGATAGAGATAGCGTCTCTCGGTCTTCCTCTCACTGAAAGGGAGAGCCCACTGTTCACAGATAGGAAGGGATGTCTGTCTGTGCTCTTTATGTATATTTATGGAAGGAAGTATCCTGTTGTTTGGCGAGACATTTGGTGTCCTCATGATATGAAAGCCAGGGCATGGAGATGCAAAACTCTTCAAACCATGCAGCGCTACCTGATGGGCGGCTCTCACCTCTTAACAGCTCATATTTGGCCTTTTCAGACCGCTGTCAAGATTGGTAAAGATAAAGAAGGTCAGGCAAAGGTCATCAATGTAAAGCTTGGGAATAAACTTGCTCAAACCTAACAGATAGTGGACTCAAATTAAGTTTGTAATCAAATCCTGAATTGGTAAAATATTAAAGTGTTGAATGAGCATCTTTCACCATCGAGTCAGCACAACATTATTTGTAAGTGACAGGTCTTGAATTAAAGAGAGTTGATAACAGATTTACACAAACAGAACTCTCTAATGGTGTTGAGATGCAGCTGTTTATTACTGCAGATGTCATTAATGTCATTAGTTCTTTGATTTCACACGCCCATTTACCCAAGACACAATAAATGAATGAAATTAGGCAAATGAAGCATCCGATTACCTCTAATTAAGCATCAAATGAGCGTCTAATCACGCTAAATTTGCCCCCCTCATCTAATTGAATTATCCTTTGAAATTAAATCACCATCTTTGAGGGTGCCTCTAGGAGCCCCTGTTCATCCTACGGTAATCTCTTTCTCTCTTTTTTTTTCTCTCGACACGTTCTTACCATCAGATATGGATTTGTCCTTTGTAGCATGTATCTTACAACTTAATGGATATTTCTTCTGCCTCTCTCTCTCTCTCCTGCTCTCAATTAAATAGTTGAGATGGGTTTTCTTGGGATAATTGGACACTGATACAAAAGATGGCGATAATTCACATCACTATATCTCAGACACATAATTAGTAATGGAAATTCCCCATTACTACATTTCCATCCATCTCCCTAACCATGTGTGACTCTGTTTCTGCACAGATCAAGAGCTGCTGGAGGACATCATGATTGACAGTTGCTTTTACCTCTTTCAGCAAATGGTAAGTAGCATGGGGTGCAGTATTTTGAAACACAGGAGTAAAGAGAAAAAAAACCCTTTTTGTGTTTGTTTACATGAGAGTCATGGTTTGCTGCTGAAATGAGAGTCCTTTTGATTATGAGAAAAAGCTAGCCTGAAGTTTGAGAGTTTACCTTGTTGTTCTTTCATCCAGCACTTTGTTTACCCTGTGCTGTTTTCTTACACTCACTTCTGAGTGAGCTTTACGCATTGCTCTCAGATAATCATGTCCTGCCGTACATACTCGACATAGTCTTTGTTCTGTCATCTACACCTCTAATCAGGAACAGTATTATTGATGTATTACACCGATACACTCCTTTCATCAACTCACAAAGCACCTTATGTCTTTTATATTCCCCACCCTAATCAATGACAACCGCTCCCTTTGGACTTACACTTCTAAAAGGTACTTTGTGGCAGCAGTTGCCTGGATTTGTCTCTTCCTTTATTGCCTTTCTCAAACAAAACATCCCATTAATTAGTGATGAAGTCTAAATGCCGTAACAACCCAGGGGCAGTGTGTTTGGATGTGGTGTATTTATTCTGCACAGTGTCTTTCCTACAAACGTCCTAGGGCCTCAAGCTCAGTGTAATCAGTGAAACTAAAGCCATGCTGCATAGTCGTAAAAGGAAGACTGCCAGCAAAGCAGTGAACAGCAGGCTGTGTGACAGTGGAGAAACGCTCTACTACTTAAATGCAAAGGTATCCGCAGGAGGAGATTGGCATGAACTTTTTTTCCCCTACTTTTACACACAGACATAAAAGAAGCTGCTTGCTACTCTTCTAACTGTGTGCATATGGTGATAAAACATGCACAGAGGTAGTCTGAATGTGCAAGCAGCTAGTAGAAAGAGGAGTAATGAAAGCTAGAGGTGTTGAATGTATGAACAGAAAAATCGATCTGTCATGGAGTTTACAGATTTAAGACACCAGATGACTAGCATTTGCAGACACATTAATACAAATGGAGGTGTGTAAGCAGAGCAATCCCAACACAAACACAAACGGTACACTCCCACTGTAGCCTTGTGAAATATGGCCGGCGGTGAAATGAATGGGTCTCCCTCTGTGGTGGTGGCAGGTCGTTACTCTGCATCCCTCTGGCGAGACAATAAAGCCCAGACACAATGAGACAGTCTTTAGAACTCACTCTCACCTCCTTTTACACTGCTGGCATCTATAAAGTTCAACCTTGATAGAGAAAGGAGAAAGAGGTGGTGAGAGGGAGTAGGCGGGCAGGGGGGTGTGGGAGTACATGAGGGTATTGGGGAAAAATAAGAGTAAAAAAATTAAGATTTAGATAGACTTACATTCTTAAAGAGCCTGAGGCACATATGATCACAATGTAGAGAGAACATCTCTCCTCTGAAACTTAAAAGCAGCAGAGGAAGGAAAATGACAATATAGATGTAAACTGTAAATTGAATTGTAATTGTAAAACTGACAACATAGATGTAGACCATATATCTAGAACATCAAAGGTGCATACCCATGTTAAACTGAACAGCAGTTAATCATACATAGACATTTAATCTTCTTGGATAATAGTTCATAAAGTAGTCTGATGTGAGAAGTAAACACGTATAAAGTGGGAATAATCATTGTACATATTTTAATTATGTATTCCAGTAAAGCTTGTGAGTGTAATGCCTCAGAAATAAATTGAATCTAAATTAGCATTTTTAGAATCAAGCATTTAAAAGTAGAATCAGAGCAGGTTAGTTTTTCATGCCATAGACCTGCATATGGGGTGACTAAACACAGCCTGCATGTTTACTGTATGCCAGTTTCCCGCCATGGGGCCCAGTTGCCAGGCAACTCCATGACTGGGAATTTTTCTCACACCCAAGGGTTTAACCTTGGCAAAGGGCAAGTGGAACTTAGGGTGGAGCGACAAGAGAGGAGAAGTTTACAGCTCAACCTGTTTGTGGAACTGACCTTTGCAAAAAAAATGAGATTAAAACTCCCTGAATTAATATTTACTGCCAGTGAATTCCTTTGCTGCAGCATAAAACCTGGTAGTTTACCGGTGATCCGGCTCATTAGCCCAGAGTGTAGATGTTGCAAGCTGTTGCTGTCGTGGAACACCATCTGCCATCTAAAGCGGCTGGTGCCCTCCCACCCAGAGACAGAAAGGTGCAGATGGAGTAGAGAGAGACAGAGAGGGCCATATATATATGAGAGATGTTGAAGAGCTGAAGGGATCGAAACAATTAGGGAGGAGGAGCGATAGAGACAAAAAACTCAGGTTTCCTCCAATGTTCTATTAAGTGGCAGCAGAGAGGTCAAATCAGGATGACCTTAAGCTTGTGTGCGTGTGTGTGTGTGTGTGTGTGTGTGTGTGTGTGTGTGTGTGTGTGTGTGTGTGTGTGTGAGTTTCTCCAAAAATTTAGTCTTAAAAGTTTGCTGCATTGTATCCCTCCAAAAAGAAAGAAAATAGAGTACCGGTAATCACCAGTGCACCATAACCATATGGTAGATATTGCTGTCTTGTACACTTTGAGGCGTAGTCATTTACATAATAGTGTCTGTGTCTGTCAGGATAAGACTGCAGTCAGGGACTTCAGAGCAATATAACAATGAAAGGCACGCAGAGCAGATAACATCATTACATATATATATATATATATATATATATATATATATATATTTTTTTTTTTTCTTTCGCTTAATGTATTTTTTCTGTACTTCTTTTGGATCTTTTTTCATTAGATCTTTTTTACATTTTATCTCCTCTGTGATTGTTGACTTTTAAATGTCTTCTTTTAATGTTTCTTTTTATGTCTTGTGTGAAGCACTTTGAATTGCCTTGTTGCTTAATTGTGCTATAGAAATGAACTTGTCTTGTCTTGTGTCTCAGTTTTATTTAAATTACAAAATCAGGCTCTATCTTTGTTTCTGCATGAGCATTGTTGTCTTGTTAAAACTGAAGTAACCAATTAACTACAATTCGTTCTCATGCTCTAGCCAGATGATCAGATGAGCCTAGTTGCCGTCATGCTCTACGACTTCCAGGACAGAAAGTTCCTCCCACGGGAACGCTGTGGGAAGGAGGAACTCATACGAGAAGTAAGAGATGTGGAGAACTACCTCCGCAGGTAAGGGCAGAAAAGTAACAAGGGTACAATGACATGAACAGGTAGTTAAGTGGGATTATAAACTGGACGCACACATTAGAGAAGAGATATAAATAAAGAAGAATATATTTTCTTTTGTGTGTGTTGTAAAAAGGTGTAAAACCAAGCTTGCAGCTTCTCTGGCCCGCTGCAGGATCAAACACGATCTCTTGACCATTGAATGCATTCTGCCAGAGAGTGTGAAGAAGAAACAGGAGAGGTCGAGCAGCCTTCCACTGTATGCATGGGTGAACACATGGAAGAGCAGGTCAGCACGCACAAACACACACCTCTCACTCCCCCACACAATGCAACAGATTACATCTACCTGTACCTGCACACCTGAAAGTAAACACCGGGATTGAACCGTAAGCATATTTTTTTGTGTGCGTAAGCCTTAAAACAAACACATCTACATCTACACACAGACCTTTAACTTGGGGTGCTGCCCAATATTTTATGGGCCAGGTGCCTAGCTGACATCCAATTAAACCACTGGACTGTGTGTGGGGATGTGTGTGTCTATGTGTTGTCGGGTGTGTGCCTTAAAGTGTGTTCTTGCGCGCCCCTTGACAGGCTGATTCAGTTAGGTGTAAATCCTGCTGCTGTGGACAGATTCAATCAGCAACAACCCTCAGCGAGCTCTAGGACTGTAAAGGTCACCTGTTGGGACTACTTGTGTCTGTGTGTGTGTGTGTGTGTGTGTGTCTGTATGTATGTGTGTGTGTGCGTGTGCATGTGTGTATCTCACTGGCTTTTACTATTTCCCTATAAAACTTCTTGAAAAGGCCACACATCAATTCTACATTATTATTACCTATGATGACAGTCCTCCTCTTTATCCCACCTCACACCTTCTTCTCCATTTCCCCTCCTTCTTTCGTCCCTTCTCTTGAGCTTTAACTACCGGTAATCTGCTCTCTTCTTTGCTTTCAGCCTCAATGAGGTCCAAAGTATGCTTAAGACGGCTGGCTTCACGCAGGTGAAATCGATTGGGCAGCTGGAGGGCCAGACCTTCTGTCAGGATCCCCACTGTGGGGATGTACTGGTATTCCCTGCTCAGCTGAGGGCTCAGCTGTACTCCACCGAGCTGCTTAGCAACCAAAAACTTATCATCCAGGTATGAACTGCAGATAGAGACCAGCTGCACCCTCCCTGTAGACTTTAATGTGGTGGTAGAAATCTGCTCAGCCAATCAATCTCTGATATTCATAATTTCACTTTGGTAATGGCCTTGCTTAAATTTATTATAAGACTGATATCCCATATGCCAACAAAGTTTAGTTTGCCTGGATACAAATATTTCACACCACTTGCTCTCATCTGGCCATACTTCAATCTGAGCCATAAAGGTTTCTCGAGTCTGGGAGGGGGGGAGGTGGTTTAATCATTTAATTTCTACCCCATTAAAGTCAAGCTGCCGTACAAACTGTAGGCAGCACACAGCATCACAACACAATTAAATCTGATTTTGCAGCCAAATTTAATCAAATATTCAACACCGCTGCCTTATTTATCACATCTCCCTCTCTCTGTTATATGAGCTTCCACCATGCTTTCTCTCCACTTTCTTCTTTCTCAATGTCCCTGTTCCCTGTCCTTCTCCTCACTGGTTTGTCCTTCCTGACAAACCTTGTGATCTTGATACTAACTACAGAAACTCAAGCCACCCCAGGGCTCCCACATGGATACATTCAGTCCTATTTTCAGAGGGGACCCTATTGATTGAAGGACATCTTGCTTTTAATCTGTCTCCACTGCTACTTTCATTCCTTCTCTGTATTCTGCCTTTTTTTTCCATCTCCTCCTCCTGCTTCATCTCATATCCTGCTTTGCAGCATCTGCTCCAAACTCCCTCTGCTGTCTCATCTATACCTGCCTTCCTAAAATGAAACCTTCTCATACAGTACTTGTATGCCTACTTCAATTTCTCCTTATTTGTCTCACCATTTTGCAGCAGAGAAACTTGAATCTATAAAATGTTGGTTGATGTGTGTTTGTCTTGTGCAAATACTGATGAATAAACCCACCGTGTCTCCAGGACAAAATTTGCAGCCTAGGCCCGAATGCAGTGTGCTCCCTGCTGCAAGAGGAAGGAGATGTTCTCATAGTGGGCTGCTTCTCGGGCCTCACTGTCTCCCACACCGCATCCCTTATTGCCAGGAAACATAAAGACAACTGCAATAACCAGCCCACAGTCTATGTTTGTGTCAGCGACCATACAAACGCTCAGAGGGAGGACCTACAGCAATCCGTGACTGCAATGGGATGCAAGAGTATGCGTAGAATGAATGAGTGCTGTATTTGTTTGTTGAAAGATAAAGGAGGAAGAGACTGAGAAGAGAAAACTCCATAGGCTATCTGTGTCTTTATCATCTTAGTTTAATAATACAAGGATCTCTTTTTTAATCAAATGGCCTGTTTGGAAAGCCACTAAAGCAGGTAACTAAACTAAATCAGATATTGATGTGCTTTGTTTTGTGAGCAGGTCAAAATAACATTTAGAAATGACTTAAAAATGTCCCTCAATCAGAAAAAAAAGGTTGAAGATTGTTGGTTTGTTTTAGTAAATCCTTAGAGCTTCTCGTATGCAGACACTTAAACCAGAAAATGTCTGAGCTGTATGTAAACAACATGTGCTGTTAGTGCCTTATCAGTAAGTCATTAGGGAAACAATTAGCGTAGGTGACAGGGCCGACATTTTTATAATTGCAATACATGCCCTTAGGCTGGGTATTTTTCTACCAGGAAACATAATGGGAAATCATCTGAAACAAACTTGAAGCATGAAGCACATGTGTGTTAATTAATCTGTATGGTCATCCTGCTCAGATGTGAAGCTGATACTGGAGGACTTCCACTGTTTGGGCCGAGGTGATAAGCGGCTTCAGAGGGTGTGCGTTATTCTCTTGACTCCGAAGTGTTCTGTGTCCGCAGTCAGCAACCCAGTGGAGTTCATACTGCAGGAAAATGGAGGTACATAGTAACGTGGTCATTCCTGCAAGGCTGTGAAGTGGGAACTTCTAATCTACGGGTTTTAAACTTGTTTTCTTCATGCCCCTTCATGCCAGTACTTATTGTCAGTCGTCATTGAGAATTTTGTGTGTAATATGAACTCAAAACAATCGTGTTTTCAGAGCTCAATGTCACATTCTGTGAATGTAAGTGATGAAAGCTTCTAACCCACTGAACTGTTTTACTGTTTTCTCTCCACTTTGACATAAAGTCCTTAAATATAAAAAAGAACAGTTTCTAATTGAACATCAAAGGTCATTACTGTTCTTTTTTGTTTTGTGGTTTGTTGATTCACTTTGCAGTTCACTCTCTTCTCATTTTCTCAGACATGGATTTAATGCAGGACTTATCCCAGGACTCTATAGCCCAGAGCAAACTGGAAGCTCTGGTAGCCCAGCAGAGAAAGGATATTGATCTTGCCTTGACGTGTGAGTGTTGAACAACCTGCTCTTACTGTATGTTGACATGTACACACACACCAAACTCAACACACACACACACACACACACACACACACACACACACACACACACACACACACACACACACAGCATGAGCTCAGTCTTCAGTGTGAAGCCTCTCTCACCTCTCTGACACAATGAAGCTTACACTTCCTAATGATCTAATCTGCTTTAGCATTAGATTGAAGCCTGTGGTGTCCCTGGGAGACCGTCTGAGTCTTAATTAGGAATGCTAATGTTTCTGTGCACCGGCCAGCCCCAGTCTGATGAAGCATTCCTTGCATATTTTAAACAAGTGATTAGTGATACTGCGTCTTTTGAACTGAATATATCAGAGCCCTACTTTGTCAAGACATGATATTCTCTTCGTTACAGATGTTACAATTCTATCTTACAGTCAGGGCTTTGCTGCTGAGTTAAATTCGGTATATGTTGTATTTTATTTTCTCCATTCAGCAGCTTTAAATGTGTATCCATGAGCGACACTCATTAGCCTCTGCCTGTTGTGCTGCGTGGGTCACGCTTATCGAGCAGGTGGAGTCTTTCCGTTAGTGATGAAAACCAGCTGCTGTAATCACGCTGACATCGATTGGCCCTTGTCTACATTTTTGCTAGTGTAGATACTTTCTAATGGGACTGTTAATTAATCGTGGGTGTGTATCGAGTGCCTCAGCTTGATAGAGTCGATGGTCTCATTTTAGCGCCTCCACACAGTCACACGCACAGATGCTCACACCTCTGATACAAACACACCTCTGTAGCCTTCAATGTCCCAGAGGCAGACACACCTCACAGCCTGTGTCCCAGCTGGGAGGTGGACATCTCGTAAAACAGGACATCTTTAATATTTGATATATTGATTTGATATTTATCAACTTGGTCTTCATTGTTTTTGTTTGGCTTTAATTAGTGAGCGAGAAATAAATCACTCCTCAAATTAAGAAAATCTAATTAACAATCCAGCAGCAACTGAATAAGAAGAGCAATGTACAGCTCTAGACATTTCTATTTGAAAGAGTGCCCTTAATGAGGATGATGATTTTAAGAATAATCTTAATTGTCATTAAATCAGAGCAAAAACCTTTTTCAGAGATGTATAATCTTGTTTGTCCTCCCTCTACGACTCCACATAATATATGTTTGTTGTTTGAAGCTTAAGTGATTCTAAATGTCATAGAAGCCGCTACATTTTACTGTCTTTTTTTTTTATACGTTCACAAATGTTAATGTGTAGTTCCGAAGGTTTTGGTGGTAATTTACTCCACCTGTTCGGCGTACCCTGATGAGAATGAGGCGGTGGTGAGCAGAGCCCTGGAGCAAGCCAAGGCCCGCTCCGAGCAGGAGGGAGAACCGAAACAAGCAACCTTCAGGTCAGACTCAGTCTTTGTAGTACCTCCGTGCCCTGGTTTCACGTTCTGCATCTGTATTTGTTTTGTTCGTTTACCTCACTGTCTGTCAGCCTGCTGGGCTGTTTGTCCGTCTCCCATCAGAAAGGGGAATCTGTCAAAGGCTCAGCACACCTCAGGCACAAAGTAGGGGAGATTCAGTGAAGATATAATCAAAGGTGCAATTTTATGTCTCTAAATGCTGTGAAAAGGGCAGATGGAAAGCTTTTGAGACAGCTCGCCCTCTTGGAGACACATATTTTTTCAACTGTCTTTCTGAGTGTGCTTGTGTGTTGTTGAAAGGCTTGTTGAAGTTTACAATTCCTGTAGAGTTGAATATAGGAAGACTGACTCCTCTCTGCGGTAAGCTGCCTTAGTGTGCTGGCCTCAGGCTAGCATGAATAAAACACAAGTAGTATAAATAGTATGGATGTCACCGGCTTTACCGAGCTAACTAGATGTATGTGCATTTATTTACTTTGCTTAGTTAATGTAGCTTGTGTTTTATGCATGCTGCTGCATCAGTGAGTTGTTGTTGATTGTGATTTTTTTCTGCTTGTGTACGTGTTTTCATCTAGGCTTAGTCCATCACCATTCATAAATCCGGACCACTCCGAGGGCCAAGAGGAGACAAACCTTTTCTTCATGTTGGAGTCCTCAGCACAGAGCAATGGTTGCTTTCTTGCTGTTCTCATCAAAGAGGTAAGCGTTACACAACAGGAGACTTTTCAGAACAAAGCACTGGTTAACGCTGATGAAGTGACAAATACAGCTCATATCCACATTTATGTTTTATCACTGCACTAGACTAATGTAACTCAGTGAGCCTAGGGTTATTTAAGCATATTAATATTTTATTTAGTAAAGCAATGAACACAAGAAAGTTAAATTGACTGAAAAGCATAAAAAGTAGCTCAATGTCGCAGCCTTTGTTTTTAACGCTGCAGTTTCTCTAGGTTCTGCCTCCCCTCTAATAAGAAAGAGTCAAAATCAAATGCAAAGCAACATTGAGATGATTTCTGTCTTTACTGTAGTTTTATTCTCTGCATACTGCCAGTCCACTGCTGCTGCCTCTGCCATCAGGTAGAGCAGCCAACAAGATTAGCAGGGACTCATTTAGTGGTAGCTCATTTAGCATCAGACCCTGGCAAGCTGTCTGATCCTTAATGACAGAAAAGTGCCAAAGTAGAGAAGCCCCTGATTGCAGGCTTTCCCGATATAAAAGCAGAGTGATATGTAGCCTGGTTGGTGATTGAAGTGCTGCAAAAAGAGAAAATATATGTTCAAATATATTTTGTACACACATACAAGATATTAGGGCTGCACAATAATGGAAAGACTGAAAGAGTTTTCTCTATTACAATCGATGGTGAATTGAGACCATGATTCTCAAATAATTTAATCACAGAAGTATTACAAGCATAATTTAGTTTCAACAGCCCAAAGAGGAATTCAACGGGCAACTCTGCCACGTTGGATATAAGTGTCTCAGTGTTGACTGGTTGCTTAGTCAAACTCTTGAGACACAAACGAGCAGAGGAGGACAGAGGTCAGGGTGCTAGAAGAAATGAAAAATGAGAATGCTGAGTCACAGACTCAGGTGTCTTGTCTAAGTCTAATCAGCAACCTAAAAAAGAAAGGGTAAGATGTCTAAAGTGGAAGTGGCAGGATGAGGTGGGGAGAATGCATGCTGAGAGTAAAGGACTTAGAAATCAGGTAGTCAGGGTACGATAAAAGGATTAGATGAGTGGTAGAGTTGAAACTTTGCAGCAGAGCATTTATGTCATAACAAAGAGTAGAGCTTAAGAGAAAAGGGAGAAACTGGAATTAGTCTACTTAATATGTGTGATATGTCTGTGTGTGTTTATTATTCTACTTCATAAACACAATAGAAATGTATTCAATGACAATTTCTGACTCTATGATGTACTCTTCTAATGAGGATACACTCAAGATCAAGATTAACTTTATTGACTCACAAAGTGAGACATTTGTCTTGGGCTCTTCACCCATGCTGCCGCCATAAAAAGGAAAACAATCAACATCATTCACATTAAAGATAAAACAATGAAAATTATTAAATAATGCCCCAAAAAAATGAAATATCAAGTTAATAATAAGTTCTTAAAATACCAGTGCAGAAACGCAAGGACACTCAGCCTCTGACTCTATTTTGATATCCAATCACAGGCTTTCATTGCTTAATCAAGTCTCAGCTGCAATTACCCTTTTAAGCCGAACTATTTTTCCCTCCCCTCATCATTATATTGTTTGTGGTCTTTAAGTAAGATTGTTAGAGGAGGTAAGCCCCCCTCTCTCTGGGTATGGGTGCTGATGGTTGGTATAGGTGTTTCAGCAAGTCTTTTCAGGTCCTTGTGTCCGGATTTCCCTACATACCTCATAATCCACGACATAGCCATGTTTACGACGTGCTCCCTCACATTATGAAACCTGTTCTTAAGCTCATGATAGCACTACATGGTTATTAAGGGGTGTGACAAAGGTCTCTTGCACTGTAGCGCCTGCTCCTCTCTGGTTGTTCATCATGTTTTATTCCTCCACAGATAGGAATGAAATAATAATCAAACTGCTGTAATGGTGCCTCAAACACTTTTTCCTCCCTCCCTACCTCCAATAAGCTCGGCTAATCAAGAGTTATTGTGGCACTCTGAAAAATGCCATAAAAATAGCAATTATATGTGTTTGGTAGGTGTCTGTCTTACATTGACTGTGATAGCAGCGCCCTGTAAAGTTTATTTATGAGCTCTCCATGCTAAAACATCTGGGGATAATAAAGACAGCAGAAGTAGCAGAGCACATCATAGTTAGACTTTAGGAATTTAGACAATTAGAACAGGGTATTACAACCATACTCTTTTAACAATGACTTTGTTCTCTTAGTTGTTTCGGGGTTTGAGTTGGATACGTTTGGACACAGGTATTTAAGATTAGTTGGTGCAGCTCCAGGGTATGAAATAGCAGCGTATTTTGGCACAGTGTTGAAGGAAACGAGAGATTAACAGAGGATGACATAGTCGGTTAGTGGAGATGGAGATGGAGAGGAAGTGAGATTTACAGAGGTGACGGAGAAAAAAGGGAGGCAAGGGAGAGTGCCTGTTGAATAATTCAGCGCCCCCTGTCTGTGTGGGTTAACATCAATGGAGTTCAGGGCGTCCACCAAAGACTGCATTACAGCGCAGCTCCTGAAGAATGTTTACCTGTGTGTACAGAGAGACACAGGTAGCAGCTAACTCCTCGTATGCCCATGCACAGCAGTCGACAGTACTAATGTACACACACTTGTGAAGTAGGAATAACAAATATCCTATGCAAGCATGAAAACATTTGCATTCACGTGCATGCAAAACACTACAAACAAAATACACACTTGAACCCACACAAGCTGCATGTCCCAGTAGTGTGCACAGTGCTTGTGAATAATTCAGGTGCTGAAGAGAGCAGTAGGCTGCTGTGTGGGCTGCTGCTGAGGCAGCAGGTGACCCTGCAGCCAGAAGCAAGGACATAGTGGCCCTCTCCTCTCCTCTCCTCTCCTCTCCTCTCCTCTGCTCCTCTCCTCTCCTCTCCTCTCCTCTCCTCTTCTCTCACCATCTCATCTTATTCATTTACTATTATTCCATTTAAGTGCAGAACAAGAGCTGTAACTTTTATTTTTATATAAAAAAAGAAAGATTACATTACATTACATTTTCTTAATGCAGTTTAAAAAATGTTCTTGACTTATGATTACTGTGAAGTGCTTTTAGGGCTGATAAAGCTCTACATAAGCATTCATCTCTGTTTGTGCCAGATTTCTCGTTACAGTTTTATGATAACTAATGTTATTATGTTATTTAATGTCTGGGTTCACTCTCAGTTATTGAGCTTATCTGGTATCTAGAGACTTGGCTGTATTTATCATTTATAGGTCATGTCTGAAAAAAACTACAACATACTGCTTTGTCACTTTTCAACAGCCAGAGCCAGTAGTCAAAGAGGAGCCTCATGAAGTGCTTCTTAGAGCAAACGCCAAAGGCATACTGGACAGGATCGGCTCAAACCAGCAGACCAGAAAAGAGCAGAATCGACATTCCAACAGGATGATGAAAAAACCACATGCCCACACCTCTACACCCATCCTCACGTGTGCAACCCAAAAACCCCCAAACCCAAGTGTGCAACCCAAAAACCAAGAGGCAAAGAACAGCAGCAGTTCCACTATGTGTGGACATCAGGAGTTTACCAACAGGCGACAGTCATCACAAGGTTACTTATTATACACTTGCTTGTTGATTAACAGCTACCATGCACAGTATCTTCTCACTTCAAATTCACACAGATATGAAATAGATATTCATCTCCTCGTCTAACTCTCAACTAGAAACAAATATGCTTGATTTTCAAAATGTCAAATTATTTCAGAAAGATTTTAAGTTCATTTTGAGCTGAAGTAGTTCACTATGTAATTAGTTAATGCAAACATTACTCACTTCTAAAAATGTATGTCTGTAATGTCTTTCATTTATTTTCTTCATACAATTTCCAGGCTGCGTTGTGTACTTTGATCCTCAAATCTGACCCTCTGTACCTGACCTCTAAATGCTTTTGTTCTTCAGGAAAGGCCAAAACACCACACTTGCAGGCCTCAAAGACCACCACATCCAGGCCCTTCTCTTCCTCCAAACCAGAAAGCACCGGCTCCACCTCCTTGTCCAAACCAGAAAACATCTCATTAAAGAAAACCTTCACTCCTGTATGCAAAACGACAACTTCCACCACCACTCTGCATCCAGCTCCTCCTCCAGCTCCTCTTCCTGCCACCCCATCGTCCCCTTTTGTCCGGCCCCGTAAAGCTCCCCAGGAGGTGCTGAAGCCTGTTGTGCTGGTTTTTCCTCCTATTCACTTCCCCAGCTTCTTCCCACCTCAGCGTAGCCAAGCAGGACACGGCGCCAGCTACAGCCAGTGGAGGACCCCAACCCAAGCTGCACCCCTCTCTCGCCCCAGTGGGAATATTCCCAAGGACACCTCAGCTAAATCCCAGCCTCTGTTTTAACTCCAAACACCAACGCGTATAAAAGAAGTACTAACTTTTAGGTCAAACTTTGACCACAATAAAGGCTGAAAAAGCAAGACTGTAAACGGTGTTATTTTAGTGCCACACTACATAGAGCATGTGATAATGCAAGTCCACTTTCAGGCCTCTAGAGCCACTTCTACTTTATTATTTAAATGTCTTTATTAAAGAGTCTTTGTGTGCCATACTGGACAACCTTGCCACTGTCAGAATCTAAGAATATAATAATATTCAAGAATTCAAAAAGATAAACCTTTACTTTTGGTAATGCATTTATTGACACACCAGGTTACATTTACAATGTGAGGAGAAGGGTGAAGAACAGAACTGAAATGTTTTACAGCATCTCTCTTGTTTTATTTTTGTGTGTGTGCGTCTCCTTCATTCAGGTCGGACTGCGTTCACAGAGTTCATGTCGAGTGCAGGTGATGGCCCCGAGCTATAGGAGCAGTGTTAAGGATTTTGATAGCAGTGACAGCAAACTTTTACTGCTGTATGTGCATATTTGTGTGTGTGTCTATATATTTGGTGTGAGTGGGGGTAGTCTGGCTGGATTTACTGAGGAAGAGAAATTAGAGTTAACCCTTTACTGTCTGGCACTGATGCTGTCTTCTCCATGCTGCTGAAGAAAGGCAAAACACTGCTGAACCACTATTCATATAGCCCTGAGCGCTTTACTTCTGCCAAAGTCACAGCCTGGATCTGGGGTTTCTGTCTACCACATAAACCTTGGGTGTATGTAAAAAGATTCCTGAGGAAATTGTAGTTTGAACATAGGCAATGTGACATTCATGAGCTTTAAACTCAGCGTCTGAGGCATGTATGCAAAACAGTTACAATCTTTAGTTGAAAGCTTAAAATACATTAAATGCCTTCTTTGCTGATCTTACCCAATCAAGATATTTAAAGTAAAAATGTTTTGATTAATTAATTTCCCCTCATCTTGTAATGAACAAACAAACCCTTCGTTTAAGAAATGGGTCAGAAATACACCAGATTTGGGCGCCGATGGTCAGTCCTCGGAGTGGGAGGCCCAGGTTCAAATCCAACCTGCGGCAACTTTCTCAATTGTCATTCCCCACTCGCTCTCCCTGATTTCCTGCTCTATCCACTGTCCTATCAAATAAAGGCATAAAAGCCCCAAAAATGTATCTAAAAAAAAAAAAGAAATATGCCAGATTGTTTGTGCCAGTGTAAATCCAGTCATGGTAAAGTGAAGATGACTTGTGCTGAGAGCATGTATTTCATGTGTGTTCACCACTTTTTTCACCAGCACCCTTTTAAACTCATCAAAAGAAAAACATATCCCATCGAGAAAACATGCAAAATCAAAGCCTACATCTGTCTCTTTTTTTCCGTTTCCAGCGTCTCAGCTTCCTCTCATATCTACACGTCTTGTGCCCTAAAGTCTCTCTTCCTACGTACAATCATTTACATACACTTCATAATTACAATCTTGTCATTCATCCTCAGAGATTTTTTTTTTCTGGTTTTCCAGTCTTGTCACACATTGAAGGGAGCGAATCATTTTTTTTTTTTTTTTTTTTACACCATTTGTTGGGTGACAGGTTTTGCCCGTCTGGCATTGGTTTCATTTTTTCTTCACCTGAAAAAAATCTGATGACAACAATTTTTCTGTCCTTCAAGGCTCCGTTAGCTTAGCATCTCAGGCGTCCGGTCCAGGAGCTCTGACTGTGCTGATGACTGATTTTACAGAGGAGAACAGAGCATACAAGTGAGTAACCAGTCTGTTACCAGAAATGTGATGCTTTTGGGTAATCCATCTGCCCAAGAAATCCAGGAGTGAGCAGGAGGTTTCTGGGGTAGTGTTCAAACGTCTGGGTTTAAACAGTGACACCAGCGCTCCCATTCCTCCTCAATAAACAGATTTCTTGTACATTTTTCAGGAGTACTGGATGATTGCTCCTCTTCCCCTCCTCTGCGATGGTGTTTCTTAATATATGTACATCGTTGGTTACCATGGCTGGTACTGATATTGTGTTGTCGTGGTGATTAGTGTGTGAGTGTTTTAGGGGTCGGCCGGGCGGTGTTGTAGTTACTGGTGGAGGTCATTGCTGGGGGAGTTCTGACGGCTGTTTCTTGGTTTTCAGAGTGTCTATGAGAGACTGAACGCCCCGTTTCACGCTGGTGGTCACCCGGCGTGTCACAGAGTCCGCAGAGGGCGAGGAGGAGGCGCCAGCGCGTTGGGAGGGCGGCCGTGCCACCAGACACTTCTGATAGCGCAGCTGAAGAAGAAGAGGAAAGAGTTAGAGGCAATTTTTATATGTTTATGGTTTAAAGAAAGAAAGAAAACAAGAGGAAGTATCCTTTCACTGTAGTTTGTCAGTCATTTATTAAGGTCTTTCTTTTTCCTAGCAAATTTTTATTTATTTGATGTTTTTATTTACTATTTCTATTTTTTTACGTGTCATGTCTATGGACAAGTAAGAAGCTAAAACCAGCAGTCTTACAGCCTAGCATTAAGACTACAAACAAGGAAACAGCCGACCTGGTTGAGTCAGAATGTTTCAAACTCCAGCTCAGACTCAAACTCGTCCATGCTCAATGTCCACACTTTTGTCTTGATTGCTCCCCTATCGGTCAGCATTAATGCTAAGCTAAGCTAACTAGGTTCATATCTATGGTACAGACATTAGAACAGTAGCAACTTCTACTGGCAAAAAAAAAGCTACAAAGCAAATAACTGTTACTCCATTCCTTTAAATTACTCTTTATTTAATGAAGGATTAGATACACAACAAAATAAAATCTCATCATTTATGACTAAAGACAACTTACCACACATGCTGCCTGCACAGCTTCGGACACACAGCCTGCGTTGGGGTCACACCAGAAAATATGACACTGAAAATGCTGGCTCCCAGTGTCCATGATGAAGGCAAACGTGTGCACATCCCGGCCCACGCCCATAAAGGACAAGAAACGTACACGACACTCCACCAACACCTCCTCGTCCTCCTCCTGCACAGACAGCAAAGAAGAGACTCAGATGGGTGTCAAACTCGGCCCCATTAAATCTCCCTCTCTGAACAACTACATTTACATCTTTTATATATCTCTTGCAGCTTGCCTTGTCTTTGATGACAGCCAGAGTGGTGTCAGCTATACTCAGTATGACAGGAGTCCAGTCCTCTTTGCCTGTTGACGAGATGAGGTTTTCTATGGCACTGTTAATGATGTCCATACCTGAGGACAAAACACAGCAGTGTCTTAATAGTGAGACAATCCAGAACGAGTTTATTTCAGGCTGCAGGATGCATGACAACGTGTGTATGAATTTGGTTAAAGATTTTGGTTTACCTATGGGGCGAGACACAGATATCATACCAAGATACAGAACATGAAACTTCTGCACCAACTCAGTCTTTGGCAAGGGAAACTCTGCAGGAAGAAAACACAAACACACATTTAAACACGCATACACACACACACACACACAAACAGATTGCCTGCAGGGGATTTGAGCACATAAGTCCACACATGATAATTGCCTTAAAGTAGAAAAATAAACAAATTCTGATGATTTTTTTTAAATATTTTAAGATGTTGTTGACATGGTAAGGGAATTAAAATTATAATCACGCACAAGCATGCAGGGTATCAGAGTTCTCTATATGAAAATCAAACTGTTCCTCTTCCTGCTACAGTGAATGAGGACGATCAAAGATGCTATATCACCTGCACTCTTAAGAGCTTGCCATCAACGCAGCCTGTTTTGAACAACATAATCTTGAGATGATATCTGACACTATGTAAAATGTGGGAGTGGTTAAGAGCGTGTCTTTATATCCTCAATTGTGCTGAAAAATATTAAGATACGCTTTACAGGGCATAAATAAAGGAGATCACCTTAAAAAATTGTGATGTACAGTGAAGACACATCATCCAGGAGAACACCATCACACCATTCCAGCAAGGTGAGAAATCAAACCACTGGATGCCAGCAATAATAACGGTTTCCAGATAAATTTTAACATATTTAAACCAACCCAAATAAAATACTTTTTTGAGTTTATTGCCTATTTTGCACTATCCACACCTAAATTACTGGGTTCCAAAGATTAACAATTCATCATAAGGTCATCTTCATGTGATCCGTAAGAACTCAATGAGGGGAATCAATCAAGGATAATTGCTTTTGCCTGGATTCACCTTATCAGTTAGCTCCATTTAAAAGTTCCCTAATATTTAACACATTAAGTATTGGCTGCTGAAGCTCTGAAAACAGAGGTTGGGTGAGTTATGACTGTGTGTGTGTGTGTGTGTGTGTGTGTGTGTGTGTGTGTGTGTGTGTGTGTGTGTGTGTGTGTGTGTGTGTGTGTGTGTGTGTGTGTGTGTGTGTGTGTGTGTGTGTGTGTGTGTGTGTGTGTGTGTGTGTGTGTATGTGTGTGTGTGTGTGTGTGTGTGTGGGGGGGTCATTAATTCCATATTTGCAGAGCTCAGACAGGCCAGATCCAATGAGTACAGCAGGGCCATTATCTGGGTGGGTGTTAGCCCTCTTCCCAATTAATTTGGTACTAATGTCCTAAATGTCCCAACACAGGATTGTGCAGCCCGAGCTACCCTGAAGAGATCCAATCCAGATTAGAACAGGGACTCTTTCATACTGGTTCTGTTGTGAATGGAAGGACTGTAAATATAACACACTTTATTGGTATTTTTTTCAGCAAAAATACTATGAATTCAAGCCTGTTATAGCTTATAACAGGTTATAGCTATAAAAGATGTGAGGGATGTTTCACAGATAGATTCTTTGATCCTGGGGTTGGGATGGGTGCTATGAAGCACCAGACCTCGCCTCAAAGAAACACTAATTGGGTTTTAATGAGGTTGGCTGCCTCTGTAAGTAAAGAGCCAATATAGTTCTTTTATAGTCTCATGTCAGGGCTCCTATCCTCCCCTCGCTCAGTAGATACACACACCAGCTGAAGTTACAGTGCAGGTTGAATTGTGTTGCCATTTTTTCTTTTTCTTCACATAATTACTTGGGACTGAGAGGAACAAGCGTTGGGATTCAACGAAATAGGAAACTGAATAGGATTAGTGCTGGGAGGATAAAGCTTGCAGATTGTGGAGTGAAACGTTGTTCTGCAGTCAGCAGTATCAGAGGGTGAGTTAACCCAACATTGCTATCTTTTCTATTAACAAACGTTCACTGCCACTCCTCGGGCGA